TGAGTCCTGCATGTTTAGCATGCTAGTGTTACTGGTCAACAGCATGCTAACACCCAATTATTTGTTTATTCCTGAAACAATACACAATGTTTGCAGCTGTTCTTTGTTTGAATGCCAAAGTGACTTATAGTCCCACACCGCTGCTAGGATAATGGCGACTGTGGCTCAGCAGGTCATCTTCCATCTGGTTCAATCCCATACTCCTCCAGTATGTATGCCAAAGACACTGAACCCTGAGTTACCCCTTATGCATCCATTAGCATGTCAATGTGTATGTGACTAGATAAAACGATGAATGTGTGTTTGACTGGGTAAATGAAACTTGCAGCTGAAAGTACTTTGAATCCATAGAAAAACAGAATTTGATAGATAAGTAGCAGTCCATTCACCATTTTTAATAAGTAAAAGACATTGAGAAGACATAATGGCTGTTGGCTTTGAATCCCATCACACTACAAAGCTCTCATATTAGTAAATGAGGGGTACAAGGTTCAACCCTTGTCCAATCCTGACGTCAGTCCCTGAAGTCACATTTTATCTTCACTTGGTCATACGTTTGTAATGTTGCAAAACATAACAAAATTAAGATGATTCGTTTTTGTACGACAGCTGGATAGCATAGTGATAAGACCTCTGGAACTTCAGGTCAGGGGTTCGATAGTAAGGGTCCCTAAGCTAGACCCCCCCACACTAACCAAGCCTACCTCGGATGAGTGACGGAGACATAACTGAAGCCATAATGGCTTGGACGTTCTGACAGTAGCAAGAGATGAGAACAGGTTGTTGGGATGATACTATGCAAGGAACCACAGCAGAAGGGGTTACATGAAGAGGATGTGGGACCTTTGATCTATCTATCTATAGCACAAGTCACCATCAAGGAGGATCTACCAAGGAGATGCTCTGTCCCCGCTGCTCTTCTGCATAGGCCTGAACCCCCTCAGTGATTGCAGTACCAGACATCAAAGACCGCTACAACATCATGAAGAGGCCGCTAGGAAAGATGCAACCACCGAGTACCAGCAGAGGCAAGTCCTGAGGAGTCAGCTGAACGGAAAGAAGAAGATCCAGGCTGTCAACACAAACGCCCTGCCTGTGATCAGATATCGTGCTGGGAAAATAACCTGGCCAAAGGAGAAGAGAAGAAAAGGAGAAGCCACTGAGAAGAAGACAAGGACGCTTTTTTACATGTACATATCGATATATA